GGCAAAATATGAGTTTTCGAGTGTGTCAACTACGACTCTATAGCTCTCAATATCAAAATCAGGATTAAAATCCTTTATCTTGAAATCAGTCAAGTAGCCCGTAACAACACAGAAAATTTCAAGTTCATATTTTCTTTGTCTCTTCTTTTTATGGGTTCTATGAAGAACAACTGCAGGACTTTTATCATCGAGATAATCCACACGTAATGCAAATACGTGACCCTCCCTCTTGTTTAGTATGGTAGGAAAAATCTGGTGTTCCTCGACATTTGGATTAAAACTCAAGTTCAAGGGATAAACATATGGCTTTGTCTGCATCGGTTTAAAATCAAATTCCAATTTTTCAACTTTTGCTGTCAAAGAATAATTTTGATTAATAAATGTTAATTAAATAAAATTTTTGTTTTATGAATATATATTCACAAAGTAACATTTAAAATCGATACTTTGAAGAATTTTCTGTCCAAGTGCCTTCAAAACTTTTTTCCTCAAGATCCTCTGTTCTTCATCGTTTTCTGACAAGAGATTAAAAATGGATGCGATCTTTCGATATCCAATAATTTCCCAAGTTTCCGAGTCGTGTTCTAGTGATTTTATCCATTCAGATTCGTTCTTACGGGAAATCCCTTTGCTACCGCCAATAATAGTAAGATATTCATTGCTTGTTGGTATGATATTTGAATTTTTATTACTTAAACTTTTACCTAATAAAATCAAAATTTTACATCATTAATATTTTCGATCGAACATGTCATTTTTTTTTTGAAAATAGCTTAGTCCATACGTGAGACGCCTGGAATCATTTTTTGTTCAACGATTTTCCCGCCAATTACGATTTTTTTTGCATAAAATTGCCCGTATTTTTTTGTTAACTCCATGAGCTTTTTGGCAGGATGCATATCGTCTACGGCTTCCTTGATTTCTTGTTTTAGCTCTGATGAAATTTCGATGTTGGACTTAGACAATTTTATACATGTCATAGGATGTTCTGATATATTGCAGGTATTTGATGAAATTTCGGACAATTCTTCTAAATCTTTTTTAGATAATTTGAGGTAGATACATAACCACGGTAAAATTATCTCGTTAGAATTTGACACTAGATTGAGTTCACATAAGTGATCTAAATGACTTATATGACGAATAGTTTCCTCCCTCGTATTTTCGTTTTCTATTTTGTAATTATCATCAATAGTCATTGCTTTTTTGCTTGCTCTAATAGGACCATCTTTTGTTATTTGAAACCCATATTCGCAAGTTTCTTTAAAAGTCGACCAATCTGGTTTACTTAGACGAACAATTCTTATAGCATTTTCA